AATATTAATTTTTTTAGAAATTTATAAAGTTTCAATATGTTTAACTAATTTATAAAAATTTATATATATAAAAATATATATTTTTTGGTTTCAAATATAAAAACATTTATATTAAAAAAACAAGCTTTTTGGTTATTTAATTTTAAAATTTCTTTTTTTTATTTTATTCATATAATTAAAATATTTTTGATAATTATAATAAAAGATATGAATTATTTTTTAAATAAATGAAAGATTTGTATGTATATATTATATTTTGAACATTAAAATATGACTATTTTTATAATAATAATATAAACAGTATACTTTAGTCTATAATGTTTGTGTAAAAAATGAAGAATGAAAATAAATAACTTTATAAAATGAGTTAATAATTAAAATATTAAAAGAATATTAGGAATGAAAAAATATTGTAAGAACAAAACAAAAAGTTTAAAAAAAATTGAAAAGGAAATCTTCAATACAAATAAATTTAATAAAATGAAATCTTTTTATAAAAAAAATTAAGTTAAGAAAAATTTAATTTATGTTATATATAAATTAATTGTTATATATAAAAAAGTTGAAAAATGAAAAGAAAATAAAAAATTTTAAATTAAATAAATATATGATAAAGTTTAAATAAAAAATGATATTATAAGTTTATAAAATATAAATTAAATTATATAATAAGAATAAGTCTTTCTATTAATTTAAAAAATAAAGTTAAAAATATAAGAAATAAATAATAAAGATAAAAATAATATTTAAAAAATATTTTAAAATTAAATATATAAATAATAATCAAATTAGATATAAATAATAATTTAAGATATAATATTTATAAATATATATATATTATTTTGTATTTTTATATTTATGTTTTTTTTTAATTTATTATATTAATATTATTTGTTTATTAATTAATTTTTTATATACAATTAATATTATATATAGTTCCTATATTTTTTTATAAATTTATTATTATTTTTATTTTTATTTTTATTTTAAAAATATATAAAAAATTTTAATTATTTATGATTTTTTTTTAATATTGATATTTATTTTAATGTATTTTGATTATATTTATTAAATAAAAATAAATATAAATTAAAAATATTAAAAATTATTAATGAAATTAAATAATAAATAAATGTTATAAAAATTTGAAATTCTTTTTAAAAACAAATTCATTTTATATATTATAAATAAATAATTTTTTTAGAAAAAAAGAAATTCAAAATAATAATAAGATGTTATAATTTAATAAAACTTAAAAAAAGTGAAAATAAAATATAAAATTCGATTTTATTTAATTAAAAAATGAATTGATTAAAAAAATATTTCCATTATAAATAAATATGAACAATAAAATTAATATCTAAATAATATAAAATTATTTATAAAACATAAATGAATTATTAAATAAATTATAAAAATAAAATTATTTACAAAATCAAAAAAAAAATATTAAATGAACAAAAAAAAAAAGTGATAAATATAAATATATATATATATATATATATATATATATATATATAGTGTATGTATTTAATTATTTTAAATGGAATTTTCTTTATATTTTAATTTTTTAATAAAATTCATATAATTCCGCATTTTGTAACTAAAATTTATTTATTTTTAAAAAAAAATTATAATTAAAATTTAAATATTAAAAAATTTATGAGCTCTTAATAGTGTTGGATTTGTTATTAAGAAATAGTTTTTTTGGAAAAACTAAAAATTGTCAAAAATTAACTCCCTGTTTATGTAAAGGCTCATTACAAAGCGTTCATCGTGAATGTTTAAATAAATGTTTAACAGAAAAACATAGAACAATATAAATTAAATTATAAATCTTGATACAATAAATAATAAAATAACAATATAAAGGATGAACTGAAATATATTGTCCTAATTGCAAATAATAATTAAAATACGATATAAGATAAGCCACTGGGAATTATAAATTTTAAGGAATTAAACTTTTAGACTAAAAAGAAATTATAATTTTAGGAATTTTATCTTTTTTATAAATTTGGTTAATTTTTTTAGATTAAAGTTAATAAAATTTAAATGAAAAATATAATTTTTGGAATATTATTCATCTTTTAACTGCTTTTATTATACTTTGTGCTGCTTTTTATAATATATTTGAAAATTATACCTAGACATGGATGTTAGAAGTTTTAGATAACTATTGATATACACTTTTATTATATATATAGAATATATATATGTATTATTCTAATATTTTGTATTATATTCATTAAGTTTTTTTTTTTGTATAAAAAAAAATACATAAAATTAATTTATTTTTATCATTCTTATATATATTTCATAAAATCTATAGTATTTTCTAATGAAGTTTATTAAATTTCACTTATTTTATCTCTTATTTATATTTTATAGCACTTACATTCATTTTCTTAAAAAAACTAAACGAATTCCTTTTTATGAGAAACCACTATAAATTAGGATTAATGAAAGTTTTCTTTAAAACTATAAAAATATATAAATAATTTATATATATATATGTATATAATTTTTATATATCATTATTTTTGTACATTTAAGCAATTTATTATATATAATTAGGATCCAAATCAGCATCGAATTCATCAAATACATAAAATGGAGCTGGATCACATTTTTATAAAGCCATTATTATCAAAATTGAGAAAATACTCTTTTCACCACCACTAAGTTCTAATCTTTTACATTTAGATATATCTAATAAAAGATAAAAAATATAAATATATAATTATAAATATATATATATAAATAAAATAAATAAAAAAATATATTTTTATATATTATATATATATATATATATATATATATATATATAATATTTTATTTATTTATTTTTACTTTGTCCCTCTTTGAAATTTAAATAAATTTTAATTTCGTTTTTTTTATTTATTTAAATATCTATTTATCCATTAGGAGCCAATTTTTGGAAATATTTTTTTAAAAAAACTCGAATTTTTAATAGACTTTTTTGATATTTTCTTCACATTAATTTAGAAAAAATGTCATGATTTTTTTACAATTTTCTTCGTTTTTTTAAATTTCGTCGTATTTTTCTTTATATTCTTTGTATTTTATTTCAAGATTTTATAGTCTTTCGAATAAAATCTTGTCTTTTGTCGTGTATTTTTTTATTTCTCCTTCTTCAAGGAATTCTTTTAGTTTCATTTTTAGAAAATCCTTTGATTATGTTTCAAATTCTTTTATTAAATCATCGTCGAAATGCAGATTTTACTGTTTTTGGGATATTTCTTGTATTTTTTACATATATTGGAGCATTTTCAAATTGTTTTTATTTAAATTTTCCTCCAATAAGGCTAAGCTACTTAACATTTCAGCATTTTTTTAGGTATTAATTTCCTTTTATTATATTTTTTGTTTTTATTGGTCTATATTTTTCTTTTAGCTTTAAATTTAAAGTAGAATTTATTAATTTTATTGAATGTTTTTTTCCAAAAACTATAAATCTTATTCATAAAATTGAGTTTTTTCATCTTTTTTTAAGAAAAAACATCAATTTAATTTTCTTTTAAAGAAATTTCTAAAATATTTTTTTCGAACAAATTTTTCTCCTTTAAAAATTCTGCTAATTAAATATTTTTTTTTCCAAAAATTCTTAAATTTAAGATATTTCCTATTTTTCTTTTTCATTTAAAATTTCCCATTTATCATCTTTTAAATTTAGTTTTTCTTAATCATTTTTTTCTATATTTTCTTGAATTAATTAAATATTTTATTATATTTTTTATTATTTTTAAATCTCTTATTATTATTAAACATATAGAGAATTAAGAAATTGAGAAAAAACGGCAATCTATGATTAAATTTCATTCAGTTTATATTAATTTTTATTTATTTAATTTTATAAAACACTCATTTTTTCTTTATTTTCGCTTATTTGTTTATCTTCTATATTTAATTTCTTTTCTATATTTAAGATTTCTTAACTCTTTTTTTTATATTCGTTATATAAGTTTATTTTTTCCTTAGTTTATGTAGAATAAAAACCTATTTTAGATAAAAAACCTTCAGAATAGGCTACTTATCGGCTTTTTGTAATGCAGTTTTTTTTATATATTTTCGCTATTTAGATAGCATCTTCGTATTTTTCACAAATTCCGTAATTTCCTAATATCTAATGAACTAAAGAGGTTATTTTTACATTATTTTAGTCATTTATTTTCATTAGTTTTGGATCTATTAGATTAATAAAATTTTATATATCTTCTTTTTACTCATTTATTTCCTCTTTTTACCACTCTAAAACATATATATGTATCTTACAGCCTTATATTGACCTATTTATATCTAATATTTGCTAAACAATTTCTTCGTTATCTACTATAAAAGAAAATAATCTACCTTTTGAAGCTATTTCATATGCAAAAGCAAATTAAGGCTTAATATCTAAATAATCTATTAATAATCCTCTATATCCTTCTGTATTTTAAAGTTTTTCGTGTATTTTTTAATAAGTGGAGAAAAATTAAGAATGAAATGATTTTTATAAATTTAATTTAGTCTATTTTTATTAAAGGACTTCATTATGTATTTATAATTAGTTTTCATCAATTTATTTACGTTTTTAAAGATTTTCTTCTCTTATTTATTAAATTTGAGTTTTTTAATCTATTTTTAAATATATATAAAAATATAAAAATAAATATATAAAAATAT